CATAATCTGGAGTTCTGGAAAAAATTCTAAGTTGCAGTAAGGAGGGGACTATTGACAATAAAGGTCACTATTGATAATACAGTTCATTGAAAGAAAAGGAAAGAACTTATTGCTATTGACAGTGACCAGGTCCACAATGCTAAGCACTGTAGAAAAACCTATTGAAGCAAACCTTCTCACTTGAACGGTTCACTGTCTACAAGAAAGGAAGGGGGAAAAAAAATTTCTACACTTTTCATGTGGACAACAGAAATGTTGACTTCCAGAGTGCAGCCGTGGTGATCATACTCCTGTGGAAACTTCAACCTTTATTTTATGCATAATTATAGGCAGCAATTCCAAATATTTTGGTGGAGTAACTGTTGGACTAGTCTGCTTCTGAATCCTGAGATTTTCTGCCTTTGTTTGACCCTGGATAGTTCCATCTCTTTCAAAAAAATGTTCTGAAATAGGTATCCTGCCTTGGATGAATTTTCAGGTCCTGTGTGCTGCTTCCCAAATGTCTGTCATATTTTTCTTGTGGGAAGTATCAAAGAGGAATTTTAGGATAATCTGTCTTTTTTTGGGTCATACAGGGTCTCACAATTGCTATACTTCATCTTGGGAAGTGCCTTTATAAACTGCTTTTGATCCATATTTTTGCTGGTTCTACAAACCTAAAGTAAGTAAACCTGACTTATTTCAAACACACAAATCTCAATTGCAATAACTGCGCATTGCTAGATTTTTTTAATGGGTCAATAAGAACTGCAGATTTCCAGATGTATGTTTGAAATCTGTTTTCACCAGCATTGGAAAGTAGAGGTTTATAGGAAGGGGACCCTCATCCATGTCTTTTAAGCTCTGGGTTCTGTTCCTAGCTTACTGAGTGGCTTCTTTTGCTGATTTTATCTCACTATATCTCAGTTGCCCGTCAGCAAAACGTCCCCAGCAACAGTTGTCACTTCCTGAAAACAGTTGTAAGAATAAATAAAAGTGGATGTATTCTGACAGTGACTGCATTAATCTGTTTAACATGCTTCTTTCCCCATTTTTATCCTTAGGTGTAGATCTATAAGGTGGAACCTCACTTGGTATGTCACAGTGTGTTCCTCTTTCATCAGCCACTGGCTTCTTGGGCAGATCAGAAGAATCTGAATCAGAATCTTTTTATCTTCTCAAAAGACCCATTCAGCAAAGAAGCTGTTTTCCCTCAAGGATCCCCAATGTGAATGTTAATAATCCCTTTACAAGGGGAAAAATATTCTCTACACCTATCTCCAGGCTTAGCCTTAGCCCCATAGCCCCAAGTATTTAGTTTTGAAAAGCAGAGTTATGTGGCCCCATTAGATCTGCTGTTAGTTGGGAATCGAGACATTTTATACTTGTGGGATTTGAAGACTGGGATTTTCTTCAGTAGGTAATTTCAAAGCATAATTCTTTCCACTTGCTTAAAATACTAATTTTCATCTGCCTCTCTTTCTCTATTGCCTCTAGGGGCTGGCTCAACTGGCTTAGACCTGGGCATTTAACTAGGAGTCACCAGCAGTTCCCAGTTTTCATGGAGTCTAAATGGGTCCATGAAAAAAGAAGTTTTTCAACTTGCACACTTTTTGCTTTCCTTGCAAGGAGATATGGATAACCCAAACATCTTTGTAATTTCAAATTATTCAGCAGCAGAGACTTTACAAAACAAGCATGTTGTAAATTTGATTGGAATGAACTACCGATTTCTTTGCTTCCATTTCCTGTGGCAGTTATGTGGTTGCAGGAATATAGTTTTTACTGCTGGGTTCCTGAGAGCTGTGAAGAAGTGTTTAAGGATTCTGAGACTCTCAATCTCTTCTACTGCTACAGAACATTTACCATGTAAATGGTAAGCAAACTCACAAAATGCTAATATTTGTATTATCATTGAATAGTGACCTAAGAATTTGCAAATAAATTCCTTGAGATTTGTTTTTACCTCAGTTGCAAAGGCATTTGCAGAAATATTTATGGAAGAGCAGGTGTGCTGCTTTCATGGTGACAACTGATAGTAATGACAAAAAACTGTCTTAACTTCTGGGGTTTTTTGAGCCTTTCATAAGGGACTATGTTGATGCATATGCAATGCTGACTCCCTTCAGAGAATACATCTGTAGATGGAACTCAGTGTGTTCTTTTCCAAACATCTTTGCTTTTCTATCTTGAAGTGCCATATTGATAAACTAAATGTATTCTCTTTCAATGATCAGTGCAAATTATGTAGAAAATCTGGCAGGGAGTTTTCCAAAGAACATAACAAATCATGATACACTGGAGCCTACATACAGACGTCTAGTAGTACTGAGGTAAAACTGAGTGGATTTGCAGTTCAGGGATTTTATCTTGTACATTTCACCATACCACCATATGTCACATATTTGCAGCTAAAACAATCTGAGTCCCTGTATCTGATAGCTTCTGAAAAATACGGCTTTGCATCCTTTTTTCCTACACACTATAAGGCTCAATGAAATCTTAACAGCTGTACTACTTTGATATGCATTGCCTTTGCAAGCAAGAGCTTGTATGCTGTAAGATCAGTTGGAGGAATAAATTTATTTTGGTTTTAAGACAGGGAAAATGAAAACTATTAAAATCCACTTGGGCTTCTTATTTCAGTGCTCTTTGTAAAAGATAATACCGACAATAGATGGCACTGTGGTTCTGTGACCCGGGGTTATTTCTGTCTGTAGCGGTGCCACAGTTTGTGCTGCTCTGGCGTTGGGGCTCACCGGGGCTGGACACCAGGTGCCCACCAAACTCCCACTGCTCTCCTCAGCCAGGCAGGGCAGAGGAAACACGAGGAAAACCTCGTGGGTCGAGATAAGGGGAGGAAGAGATCACTCACCAATTACTGTCATGGGCAAAACACATTTGGCTTAGGGAAATTAGTTTAATTTATTGCCAATCAAATCAGAGTAGTCTAATGAGATATAAAAGCTAAATCTTAAAACAGCTTCACTCCTCCACTCCTCTCCCTTCTTCCTGTACTGAACTTCACTCCTGATTTTCTCTACCTCTCCCCACACAGTGGCACAGAGGAATGGGGAATGGGAACTGTGGACAGTCATTACACATGGTTTCTGCTTTTCTTTCCTCCTCAGGGAGAGGACTCCTCGCACTCTTCCCCTGCTGTAGCTTGACGTCTCTCCCTCTGAAGACAGTCCACCATGAACTTCTCCAACATGCATCCTTCCCTCGGGCTGCAGTTCAAGTCCTGCCAGCACACCTGCTCCGGAGGGGCTCCTCTCTCCACTGACTTCCCACAGGTGCTGCCAGGAGCCCGCTCCAGCACGGGCTTCCCACAGGGTCACAGCCTCCTTTGGCTCCTGCTCCAGCGTGGAGCTCTCCCTGGGCTGCAGGGGGATACAGGCTCCCCTATGGACCTCCCTGGGCTGCAGGGGGATACAGGCTCCCCTATGGACCCCCCTGGGCTGCAGGGGGATACAGGCTCCCCTATGGACCCTCCTGGGCTGCAGGGGGATACAGGCTCCCCTATGGACCTCCCTGGGCTGCAGGGGGATACAGGCTCCCCTATGGACCCTCCTGGGCTGCAGGGGGATACAGGCTCCCCTATGGACCCCTCTGGGCTGCAGGGGGATACAGGCTCCCCTATGGACCTCCCTGGGCTGCAGGGGGATACAGGCTCCCCTACGGACCCTCCTGGGCTGCAGGGGGATACAGGCTCCCCTATGGACCCTCCTGGGCTGCAGGGGGATACAGGCTCCCCTATGGACCCTCCTGGGCTGCAGGGGGATACAGGCTCCCCTATGGACCCCTCTGGGCTGCAGGGGGATACAGGCTCCCCTATGGACCTCCCTGGGCTGCAGGGGGATACAGGCTCCCCTATGGACCCCCCTGGGCTGCAGGGGGATACAGGCTCCCCTATGGACCCTCCTGGGCTGCAGGGGGATACAGGCTCCCCTATGGACCTCCCTGGGCTGCAGGGGGATACAGGCTCCCCTATGGACCTCCCTGGGCTGCAGGGGGATACAGGCTCCCCTATGGACCCCCCTGGGCTGCAGGGGGATACAGGCTCCCCTATGGACCCTCCTGGGCTGCAGGGGGATACAGGCTCCCCTATGGACCTCCCTGGGCTGCAGGGGGATACAGGCTCCCCTACGGACCCTCCTGGGCTGCAGGGGGATACAGGCTCCCCTATGGACCCTCCTGGGCTGCAGGGGGATACAGGCTCCCCTATGGACCCTCCTGGGCTGCAGGGGGATACAGGCTCCCCTATGGACCCCTCTGGGCTGCAGGGGGATACAGGCTCCCCTATGGAACCCCCTGGTCTGCAGGGGCTCAGCTGCCTCCCCATGGTCTGCACCAGGGGCTGCAGAGGAATCTCTGCTCCAGCACCCACAGCACCTCCTGCTCCTCCTCCACTGACCTTGGTGTCTGCAGAGCTGTCCCTCTCATATGTTCTCATTCTTCTCTCTGGCTGCAATGGTGCAGCTTTTCCCCACTTCTTTAACCTATTATTCCACTGGCACCATCATGGCGGCTGCTGGGCTTGGCCTTGGCCAGAGCTTCATCCATCCTGGAGCTGGCTGGCATTGAATCTGTCAGATATGGGCAAAATTTCTGGATGCATCTCACAGAACCCACTCCTGTAGTTTCCTCACTTGTGAAACCTTACCGTGAAAACCAACATGGCTTATTAATTTTAATCTTATAGTTCTATTTCTTAGTGAAATTAATTTAATAGGCTTTCTACTATTGCAAATATACTGTTTCTGAGACCAAAAATTACTAAGCTGTATGTACGTACCCAAAGAGTACCTCTTCAGTAGAAAAAACGAATTATTACAATGGCTCATTTTGGACCAGTTTTGAAATAGTTAAATTCTGTAACATGCTCTTTTTTTTTTCTCCAGCAAAATATTTAAAATTACTTTAGCTTTCAGTAGACATTGTACTGAATATTTATGGGAGAAATAAAACCAAACCAAATTAGCTATTTAAGACAAACCTCTAGTTTATAAAACAACTGATGGCATTTGAGTATTTTAATCTGCTTTACTAGCAGTGCGATCAGACAAAACAGTAGAGCATCAAAACACCATTTTACATTAACATTACAAAATACAACAAATTTTTTTCTGTATGTATTTACATAAGCAAACATATAGGTATTCAAAATAGAATGTATCTCACCGTCTGGCAATAATTACATAAGTACAGTGCATGGTTGACTGGATGGGATAGATACATAGGAATTTTTACCCTGAAGTGTAAAAAGGATGCACACCAGCTTAGGAGATACATGGTGAGCTTCATGTCTTTGGACATTTTTCAGATGCAGTCTTAACAGTAATAAAATGTCAATCGAAAATCTGATGCTGAAAAATTTTTTCAGATGAAGTGGTTTTTTTGGATGCAAGTATGACAGACTGACTCAGCATGCTTTTCCTGTGAAAAAGGAAAAGGGGAAGGCCCTAACCTCTGAACCAGTCTGTATGAATGTCTTCTCTTTTTTTTTTTTTAACCTGAAAAATTACAAAAAGTTCCATTCCATTCTAATGCATAATGCAAACACAGTTTTCTGGAAGATGGAAATACTGCTCTGAAGCTGGTCATATTAAACCGTGGTACTCATTCCAAGCATGGGCCAAGTGCTGTAAATCCTAGTTTGAAACAGCTGAACTCTGTCATCTGTCTGCAGTAAAATGAGTCCATTAATTGCTATCTACTGATGAAAAACCCATAGCAGATTTGGCATGGTGGCTAGAACAAATTCATATCCTGAGTCTGTCATCCTCACTAAGGCAAACTGCACAAAAATCTATTAATATTTTGATGCAGGGTGGCAGAATCAGGGCTTTCTAAGCTGTAAGAAATATCCATAAAGAGCTAGAGATATTGGTCTTTGCTGTGCATTCTTGGCCTTAAGAGGCTACTTAGGCAAAAGCTGCTGATTACTCAATAAAACCATCTATCTGAGTGCTACAAAATCAAAATGTCAGGCATCAGTTTTCCCTGCTTCTAAGCAAAAACTCGGTGTTATGTTCTCTCCAGCTGTCAATTAATGAAATGCTGTTAAGTCTCTTATGTCCAAAATAGATTTTATTTTAAAATAAGCTGGAAAAAAAATGATTGTTCAGAATCACCTTGTAATGAAACTTCAAGCCAGTAATTTAAACCCTCTGTGATTGTAGTGAAACATTCCCTGTCAGTATTTGCAACCTGAGCAATTTCACATTGTGAATGAGGAACAGAAAATGAAATGAAAGAGAAACAGAGGGCTGATATGCTCTGCCATGTCGGCAAAATGCAGACAGTAAGTGGAGAGCATAAGCAGTGAATGTGAAATGTTCAGTAACAGTTTATCAGCTGCAAGCTGGTGAAGGAGACTGTGCAGAGCAGCAACTGGACCCTCAGGAGATTTGGGAGAAATTGAGATCTGGAGAAGTGCAGGGTGCCATATTACATCGTACAGGATGCAGATGAGCTCTGCTCCCTTGCACAAATGGGCAATAAGATCCACCTACTGTCTGTCCTACCTACTGCTTTCATTTGCAAGGCCAGAGAAACTTTCATCAGGTCAGGCATAAATGGCAAAAAAATGTGGTGATTCCCTCCTTGGTGGAAACCTCTTTGTTTCCTTTCCCCTCACATGGAGGTTTAGAGACCTTCAGTCCCCTGTCAATATTCATTAAATTAATGCAATCTGGTTTGGTGGCAGATTTAGAGCCTCAGATCTGTTCTCAAAAAACACCTTTGCTTTTGTTACTGTCTGCTTATTCCCTGAGATACCTGTTTCCAAGGGTAAATCCTCAAAACCATCACTCCAGTTGTGAAGTGGAGAGATATGGCCTGTGGGATACAAGATGAGCATTGTCCTTAGTTCAAAGTACTAGATTTAGGGTCAATATCAAATTTGACAGGAAAGAGTGGAAAGTCATTGTTCCCAGCTACTACTATGGTAGTCCTCATACTCAGGTGCACTTAGCAGATTCCCCCTGGAATGCTTTCTTTGCCACTGTGACACCCCTCACACAGTGCTGGGTAGGACCGGGATGTGTGCATAGGGAGGTAGGAGCAGCGAGTTCATTTTTGCTTCTACTGAAGCTGTTCAGTTTGACTGAGATGATCAAATGTACCCAGAGACAGAGAGTGTATAAAGCACATGGTGAGCACAGCATTTATTCCACTTGATTTATCAGTTCATCCTAAATGACCAGTTTTGGGGGGAAACCCATGAATGTCTGCGAGGTGATAGATGACATGCATGGCATCATCACTGTGAATGGGGATACAGCATGACACTTCATCCCAGCATGGAGGCTGAGATCTGTGAGGTGAGTCAGTGGCATCATGTGCATGCAGAGCTTCTGTGTGACCAGTGCACAGTGGCTCCTACCGATCCCATGTCAGAGGAGAGGGCTCATAAAATTAGCAGATTTAGTTAAACAATATATATGACAATAAATCAGTCAAATACGGATTTATTTGACTGATAAATCAAACTTTTTGATTTGTCAGTCAACTTTTAAGTCCTTTTCTGCCATAGATCAGTATCTTAAGCTAAAGGCCTTCTTCTTCTAAAGACCCCCACCTGGTAGGCTAGAAAAAGGTTCACTTTCTCTCTCTGTCTCTCTCCTTCTTTGGCTTAGTGGAAATTTAATTGCTCTGTAAAAACTGAACAACTTCAATAGAAGGACAGATGAACGCACTTAAGTTTTGCTTCTGGATGTGTAGGGATGGCTGTGCTCCAGGACAGCTTTGATGAATGGAGACAAGAGATCTCTGAAGGATGGATTCCATCCTTTCCAACATGAATGGACAGTGGTTTTTTCCACAGAAACTGGAATACATCCTGGTTCTGATGAGATTATGGCTGCAAAATTCATGGAATGAATCAAATTATTTGATTTAAACTTTGCATGTGAGTGCAGCATTTATATTTCTCCGCTTCAGCAAAGTCCCACTGTCCTCAGTGACATTGGCTATGATGTCTTGAAAAGAGTTTCATGACTAGGCATGTCTGTCAAGCAATGTATTTTATGTTCTTTATGCAATGTATTCTGCCCTTGGATCTATGCAGGTGAAATGCAGTGCTGTTCACAGGTCCTGTTATTTTTCAAGTGAGCCCCATTTGCCCATATGTATTTCATTAAGGCTAAGTCCTAGTAGTGCAATCCTCTGACCATTCCTGAGCAATCTGCCTTAACAGCAATACAGTGAAACAAGGGAAAATTAATTTAACAACTAACAGTTTTCTAATAATTCTGGCTTTACAAGTCCTAAACCAAAGCCAGAAGATTCTTCATAATGGTCTTTTTTAACCAAAGAGACATGATGAGAGAGAATCTGTTTTTACTGAAGATGCATGCAGATTTTCCTCTGACACTACTTAAATCAGACTTTGTTGGAATTGAACAGAGTAATGAATCTGAAAGTGGTGCTGAAATTATTTAGCAATGTTGTGCCTGGTTTTCCACTGTTCTTTCAATTCACCTTGCTGTCAACACCGGTGGGAGGGAGCAGGGAATTAAGACCAATAATTTTGAAAACATTACTATCAATTTTTTAGCTGAACACTGAAATTTTTGAATGCAACTAAACTACAAGTCCTGAAATAAACATTACAAATGGTGGTGGAAACAGAGGATTATTCAAGTATAATTTACCTTTGCTTATTTGAAATACAGAATAAATGGCAGAAAAACCCAGGGACATTTCAGGATGGTTACTGAGGAAGAAAAAGTAGCATAGAAACAGTTAACAAAATGTCCATATAATTAATTAGCAGTTTTAATAGATTTTCTTTAATACTTTTAGATTTATTTTAAATATATATTAACAAATGAACCATCATTTTATTTGAAATTCTGTAAAGTGCTCATTCAGTTAATGATAACTCAATTGTAGCAAGACAAACTAGCCAGAGCCTACTCTGCAAGAACATCAAAGGGCAGCTTAACTTTCATTTGCAAAGAGAAAAGAAATACGTAGATTTCTTCACAGCCCATATTATAATACCAGAAATTGCATTTTTTTTCTTTAAGAAATATATCCTTTAGAATATTAAAAAAATAAGTCTAATAAAGCCTGTGCTTAAAACAGCCAACGTACTGTATGAAAAAAAATTGCACATTTGATACCCTTTCAACCCTGCTTTTCATCCACAGGATAATGTGAGGAGTATATGATGTTGTTGGAAGGTCTCTTGAACACAGCTGATTTTCCTAAGCTATCAGAGCTTCTCACAGCAGGTGGAATTTTCAGCACACACACAGTGGTTGTCATGGCAGCTGCTGACCATCACACACCACTAACCTTTTCGTTCCCTGGGCCGATACTTCCCTTGGAGGGACCATCTAAACGCTGTGTTCCTATCACAACCGTTGAGTAATCCTTAGCCATCATTTTTGCCTCTTTTTTCAAACTCTTCATTTGTGCTAGCTGGAGCTGGCTGGAGTCATATGCAAGTGCTGGGATAGTGTTCACTAAAATCAGCTGGAAAGGTTTCTTCTCCTCTTTGTAGCGACACTGGATGTAGCGAGCGAAAGCAGAGCGGTAGGTTTTGTTGAACAGCGTATATACAAGTGGGTTGACAGCCGAAGAAAGGTAGCCAATCCAAACAAATATATTAAGGAGTCCTCCAATGACCTCTTCTTTGCATGACTCCTTGCAAATAACAGCCATCACATTGGTGATGAAAAATGGGCACCACATCACAACAAACAGAAAGAAGACAATGCCAAGGACCTTGGAAGCCTTCTGCTCATTGCTGATGGATTGCATGGTTCTCCTCCCTGAAGTCCCAGTATCTCTGTTCAAGGAGCGCTGAAAGAGTTTCTCTGAGGACAGGGAACTCTGAGGGAGGAAGCTGAATGAGGCAAACTTGGTCTTAGGGCCAATGTCATTCACGCATAGCATAGCTTCCTTCTGCAGCGACTTGATAGTTAAAAAGTAGGTGACTACCATGATGGTTAGAGGGATGAAGAATGCAACAAAAGAGCCTACTAGAACAAAATTTTCATCTGCAAGTAAGCAGATGTCTTTCTTAAAAATGTCTTTCTTAAATACTTTGGAGTCGTCTTGTAGTCCAAAGACGGGTATAGGCATGGAGATACCTGAAGGTGGATGAGAGGAAGAAGAGGTTAAAAACAATAATGAAAAACACTTCCAGCCTCCAAGAAAAAACAAACAAACATCTATCTGTGTTCTACCTGTGGCTGAGGTGGTCGTAGCTATACACATTACCTCAGCCACAGGTAGAACACATTTGCTTCCTTCCAACTGTCCTATGACACCTGGTAGCCAGAAAAGCATGGTTTGGATCTTGGGCCCCTTGTAATGGTCTCCAGACTTCTATCTTGGTCTTTACCACCTTGCGAAGGATTTAATGAACTACAACCAAGATGACAGTATGTATTTATTTTCTGGAGTGCCATAAGAGTGGTTTTGGACTGTTTTTAATTTGAGGATTAAAAGTGTTCTGGGCTCTAAATAGACTGGGAAATACTAATTTTAGTAGGAAAGTTAATTTTTTGTCATAGGTCTAAGAGTAATCTTTCACTGTGTCTTTTCTTGCTGTAATCTCCATGTAGTTAAATGCTAAATGCTAACAAAACCTAGCTTACCATGTGGCAAGGGCCAGATGAACAACGAGAACAAATTAAGCACTGTGAGACACTGCATGAGGCAGCCTGAATTGTACTTTATCCTGCAGGACTGCAAAGTCCTTTCACTGTATTTCCATCTACTAGAGGCTGCCTCCTCTGTGTACAAGCATGCAAAATTTGTCTTTCCCTGGAGCATGCATCCTTGGCTTGTCATGAACGGCAAGACAAGGTGACAAAGTCCATTCTCCTTGGACTGCTGTGTCTGTATCAAGCCTACTCAGCCATTTCCGCAGGGAAATGCTAGAGTCTGGGTAAAATCAAACAGCTGTTGTTTCTCTAGTTGTTGGTTTTGGGGTTTTTTCAGCATTTGTCTCTTCCCCTCCAAATGGATGATGTCTCTCCAAGAGAGGCAATGCTCAGACAATGAAAGAAATTATGTGCTGCAAAGATAGCAGAAGTGAAGTGAAGCAGGGGGGTGATAATGCAGCCCTGTTTGGATAAAAGCAGCAAAGATTCGGATTCCTGTGGAAAGTTAGCTTAGTCTGGGAGCTTCAGTCCTGTTTGCATTTTGGAACAGAAATCCCAGTTGCTGTACTTGGCTTATGAGAAATGAAAACATCGACTAGAGAAGAATTTCTTATGATGTGAGGATGGTGTGCCCTACTTTGTTCAATGGATACCCAGGAGTGTCCTTATTCATTCACAGATGAGTCCTGAAAGATCTGCATTTAAATGGTATCTTCTGCTCTCTCTCTTTTTTCCCCTTCTTCCCACTCTGCTGCTTAAACTGGGAGCCTTTTAGAAGCATGGTCTGTCTCTTCATTTCACACATACCCAGTGCCCAGCATAACAGCTCCAGTCCTAGAGAAAGGCTGTGGAGTACAGGCTCAATACCAAACAATAATAATCACAGTAGTAATAATATTAGATTTTTATTCTGTTCAAGTGCTTAATTCTTTTTGTTCTTCTGGAGCTTTTACAGAGGTCTTTTTTTTTTTTTTTCTAGGAGCACTGTGGCTTATTTTGTCTCTGCAACTTTGAACAGAGTCATGGCATTGCCTCAGGCCACTTTAGAAAAGTGCTTTTCTTATCTGCCCAGGGCAGAAGCTGGTGGAGAGCCTGTGGTATTACTCTTTCTGTTTCTCCTGCTCAAGCTCTAAGTGCTTGAACTTGGGCTAGGAGAAGCCAGTGAGTGAGATGCAAACTCATGCAGTCTGTGGCAGCTCCTGAGCTGAGCTGACAGGAACCTCCAGGGTTTTTAGCTACTGGCTAAAAAGATCTGAGTCCGTCTCACTGAAAGCATGAGGCAGAGGTCACCATCAGAAACCAGACTGTCCAGCCATGGTGAGTAATCTGGGGTGCTGAACAACTCCAGGGAAATGAGGAATGCTTTGAAGCTAGTTTTCTTTTTTTTGGATGAGTTGAAGGGGTGCTGAAGGCATCCAGCATCTCCCAGCATCATACTCCAGCTGCACAAAGACACAGCATTACTCAGAGCAATACCACAAGTTTCCCATCTGCTTCTGCCCTGTGCTGATAACAGCAAGGCTGTTTTTTCATTTAATTCAAAGACCTTGTGTGAGCTGCAGAGATAAAATAAACAATGGTATTGACAGAGTAAAAAGATGCTTTTCATTACTACCTTATGGTTCAGCTGCATGAGGAGGCATGGGAGCAGAGGCTGCAGCACTAGGAAGAGGAAAATTTTAGCATAATTTGCATGCTTTTTCAAGTAAAGAGCCAAAGTCTGTTACAACTTCTCGCCTGAAACAAGAGGAGCAATTCCCCAACTGCTTTGTTTTGGTTTTAGCCGCTTCTTGAGATTGGCATCTAAATCCAGATTTCTGGCTTTAAAAAATGGAAATGGGCTTCACCGTGTAGCAGAAGTTCCTGCATTTCTTCGCCATTCCTTTAACAAACACGAAAGTGCTGTACCAGCAGAGCTGTAGCAGGCACTGCTAGTCATGTAAGTTTTGCTGAGTGACCATTCAAGGCATCTTTCCCCTGCAGCCAAAGGGAAGTGGCCTGTATAGAGTTTGAAAACAACAGAGATACCACACTTTGGTGGCAGAGAACACTGTAAACTGCTTTTTGTGTAACCCCAGTTCAGTTGATTCAGGGCACCCCCCCAAAATGATCCCGTGGCATTCCTGCATGGAAAAAGTTAATGTCCAGCCCATTTTTCTCTTTTTATATCTCTACAGGGACTAAATTTACTCTTTTCCTCCTGAAAGGAACAGGGTTTGTTCCCCCTTGACAGTTGGCTTCTGCAGCATAAGTATGGCAAATTCCAGGAGGACACAGGGACCAAATTGAAAGGCAGTCATATTTAAACTGCCAGTAAAGGAACTTCCATGTGCAATTCACATCCACTGTTTTGATGGGATTTTTAGGAATCATCACATATGGCCAAGAATATCACCCATATGTCATGTTTGGTCAAGATCAAGTTTGTCCTGTAAACCCATAACAAAAAGTCCTTGTCTGTTGGAAAGGATGGATAAATACAATTGTCTGGCAAAAGATTTACAATAGCACAGCCAGGATGAAAACAATCCCCCCTACTGGCTGGACAATACCCTTACCTACAGATAAATCCAAAAGTCAAATGGACTGTTCCATTTCAACCCCCAGAATGTATGATTCATCCCACACCTGTAACCTTCCCCTGAAACATCAGTTGTCTGTGACCCCATTGGCCTAAGCAGCCCACCTTGAAGCCCCCTGATAAGGGGTCTCTGAGGGGCCAGACACCCTCCAAGCAAGACCTTTCATCATCCCTAATAAACCTGATATTCTAAGAGCAGCCTTCAGAGATCCCTCGTCTCCATTCATCCAAGCTGTCTTGGACTACAGCATTCCCTACACTAGTCTAAAGTTGTATTAGCATTATTGCAACTGACTGAATTAATTCTTTAAAAGTTGAATATGAATAATCTGTTTCACCTGGATGATTCAGATGTATACTCGCTGGTTTACTTGTCCTTGCTTTCCAGCTCCCTGCTCTTGGTGACTGGATGCTTAAGGAGACACAGATGGTGCCTGTGCATTCAAATGTCATAAGAAGAAAATCAGCTTCACAAGAAAGGATCATGCAGAACTACCAGGTAGGGACAAATAGGTGTTTGGGAAATTAAGCATGTGCCAACAGTAGATCTGGAGGAAACAACCTGCAAGGACTAAAACAGAACAGCTATTCTACACCCTGCCTATTCCATGCTCCCACTAGCTCAAGGTCAGTCTGGAAAAACTCTTGGTATCTCCTGAGGGCTTTTTTTATGATTTACCTTCCTTGGCTTTCAAAAGAACTAAAATGAGGCACAAGAAAGCATTCAGCACAGAATAGGAGCATCCATTCAAGCGCTGAAGGTACATCACTCACTCCATTTCCAGTTGACATTCCCACTTAGAATACTCTCCCTTGTCAACAAGCCCTAAATATTATGTTCCTCTGGACAAGGTGGTTTATTTATATGGTTTGATTTATACACACATGGCTGTTTCAAACTGTGGATTTAATAAACTGCACAACAGATCCCAAACAATGAAGATGAGTAATAAATTCTGCATGAAACCTCAAGAATTTGGGCACAGTTTCAGAATGACAAAAGGCTCTTGAAAACACCAAAGGTTAAGAAGTAAAGCAATGGCATCCTTTTTGTTCTCCTAAAAAGCCTGGTGAAATTGACAAAGGTTGATATTGTGGTACACATTGCTGGCTTCAGAGGTATACAGCAGCTATAAAACCACAGGTAAACTGGGTTTGCAGCTGCCTTGAGCTGCTGAGAATATCAATAAATCAAAACCATAATTTACCGTGCATGTATGGTGGCACACTTGGGTTACTTGGGGTGAAGACAAGGAGGGGGAATTGAATTGATAAGGTCAAGGTTCTTTCAGTGAAGTCTCCTTTAAGCAGAAACCGTCAGTCACATGCATATATCACCCTGCATTTATCTATTTCAATTTTGTTTAATACAAATGAGCATTATTCTGTACCTTAATAAATGTCTAAGGGTTAGGAACTACCTTTTAGAAATGTAACTACAGTTTCTCTCAAACTTTGGCACCTTTGTTCACTTTCTCATGAAAGTGAACAACAAAAACAATGAAAAACCAAAAAACTCTCTCCATCTCAGGTTTTAGCAGTCACATTGATTCAGACATACCAGGTCATGGGCCAGCTCACAGGCCACTGCACAAAGATGTGCTGTGACACTGGGGACCTCTGAAAAGATTGCTGTTTGAGAAGGCCAGTGTCTCCTTCAAGCACCTCAATGTGGCCATATTGTCTGATTTCTTTAGAAAAGCCCATGCTGGTATCTGGTGCCTGTTTGTGCTCAGAAAATATCCTCTGTTGGTACATCTACACATTCAAACAACAAACAGATGTCCATGTATAACTCACCTGCTACATTCCAAGGCATGCAATGCATACCCTAGTTTCATGCTATATAAAAATCTCCTTGTGGCACACTGCCATTTTCAATATTTTTGACTTAATTAAC